CGCTCGCTTTTTTTTAAGTATATAAATTGAAGACTGGTTATTCCAATGCTTTTTACTCTTTCCTTCATTACTTATGCAGAATCAGAGATTTTTTTAAAAAAAGAGGCAGGAAGGAAATATCACTGCAGCAAGAAATTAACAAAAGGGGCGAGCAAGTACAGTACTGTAATCTGTACGTCTATACGCACGAAGAAAGGATGCACATACAGTAATCAAGCCACAAAGAGACAGGTTGCCAGGATGAACGAGAAAGACCATCTACAGTGTGGAAACAAAAGTTTGTAGAGCGCCCGGATAGCTCAGTCGGTAGAGCATCAGACTTTTAATCTGAGGGTCCAGGGTTCAAGTCCCTGTTCGGGCGAGTACGATTTTTAATAGAAAATGGCAAATAATAATTCTATCAAACTGCAAAAAGGTGGTTTTAATAGCAAAAATTAAGTTACAGGGTTCCTTTGCAATATGTCTCGGGGTTTTCTTTTTAATGCACGTTAGAAGAGTAGCTTCTCGCCATCAGATAGTCTCTAGCATAACAGCGAAAAAGACTATTCAAGGGAAATCGGATTGCAGAAAGTAGTAAGAACACTAAAACAGAAATTTTTTTTTAAATAAAAAAAACGGAATCCGCCCGAACAGGGACTTGAACCCTGGACCCTCAGATTAAAAGTCTGATGCTCTACCGACTGAGCTATCCGGGCTCCGTGCTGAGCTTCTCCACTGCGGCGCTAGAGAAAGCGAAGCTGCTGGAGAGCGCGCAATGTGCTAATTACCCCCATTGCCCTGCGATAACCAATCAGAGCAACGGGAGGTTGGTTATTTCCCCCGTAAAATAAATCCTGCCCCCATTTCCGCCTGCCAACCCCCGTTTCGGGAAACAACGTGTCAGTTTTGCATTGACAAAAACACCCACAAGCAGCTGCACACGGTATATTAATTTGCACGGCGGCTCAGGGTTATTCTATGCACACTGCTTGGCAGGGAGCAAAACAAATAAATAAGTCAGTATTTGCGCAGGCACAGCCCAGGGACCTCGGTTTGCAGCATGCATGCAAGAACTGCTGCAGCAGCAGCTCCCCTAGTTTTGCTTTCCTAGCGGGCGAAGCTTCCCCTTCCCTTCCTTTGGAGCCCATAAAGACAAAAAGGTCCCCCAGTTGGCAAAGAGACGCGCAGAAGACCAGCGTTCCACGCGAGCCTCCACTTCCGGATCTGGAGGGAAGCCGCCATGTGCGCGGCGGCAGTGAAAAGAACGCACTCCCCTTGCTCCCCAGTCCCGCTCTGTCAAACTGGGCAGGGTTAGAGACCTTCCTTTCGCCTGAGTCGTTTGCAGTAACCAGCGGCTCGAAGCCCCGAAGGTTACCGGTATTTTGCTCACTGCATGGATCTGCCTCATTGTTTGTTGGTGGCAAGCTTGCAATGCGATAGGGGCAGCCTTGTGGCATCTCATACAACATGAACACATTTTGTTATGCCATTAATGAGCTGCTGTGGGCTAGAGCCCATTTCAAAAGCCAGCGACATATATTACCCCCTTGATGCACCTTTGCAGTGTTGTAAACAAAATCTGGTCTTGTTCCCTTATGGGTTACACAAGTCCTTGTAGTTCTCCATCGGTAGGAGAAAATAACAGAGGCCAACCAGAGAATATTGAGAAGCAAAGCAGATAGTAAGCCTGATCTTTATTAACGCTGTTGCAACAGGGTGGTCCCCTCACACGCAGGAGAGAGGAGGACCCAGAACAAAGGTGTGCCTCCCCTTATATAGACATTTCAAAATTCCCCACCCTGGAGCTCAAGACCACACCCAGATACATCATACCTACATCACAGAAAAGGCGGTTTACAACAGAAATCTGAGTGCTTTGTTTATCTCCTGTCTGCCAGATTATCTGATAATGCCTTATCTGATTGCCTTTCATGGTAGTCTGGACATTCCTTTGAGATGGTAATCACTTAATTTCTGAGACAATGGGAAGGTTCCCTCACCTTCTCCCTCTTTGCAGAGAAACATTTGGTCAGTTTGGGAGTCAAAATGGTTTCAGGACTGTATTTCTGTGCTGCTCCAGACATGTGATTTATTTATTTATGTACATGTTTGCTCAGTACATTTATGAACATTTATTATATATCTAAGTGCTTAAAATTCTTATCATAGCAGCTTGGGTCTGGGTCTTAGCTGGATCTGGGATGCACCACTTTATATATATTCACACTCACACTCTGGCTGTTGGCATCAGACACAGCATCAAACTGCTTTTGTAGCTTCGGGAACAAAATCACTGCTCCCCCACATTCCCAAACTCACAGGGAATGCATGAGAATAATTCTGTCTTCTCAAAGTTCATGTCTGCTACTTCAACGCGGCATCGGGGGAAACTGCTCCCTCCCCCATAGCTGATGTTCCACATACAGCTATTGTTCTGGCAAAGCTTGCTGCTGCACGAATCCAGTTTCATAAGCATCAGGGTATGTCCTCCCTTCTGTAGCACATAAATCAAGGCTTCTTTCTCAGCAAAGACCTGACGCATCAGGCATTCCCTCTATGTAACTCAAGGACTTGAGATTTGTTCCTGTTCATTCTCTGTCCCAGAGATTAAATGGAGTCAGGAACACTCAGAAGCAGTCATAAATCAAAGCTTCTCTGTGTGAGCTGCTTTGGCAGCTGCACAAACAGTCCGGCCTGCCTACTTTCGCTTTTAGGCACAGGCTTTACTCACTGTCTGTCTCCTCGCAGTTTTTCTCCCTCCCGTCTCTGAAGAGGCTTGCTTCACACTGCCAGTTTAGGAGACCCCAACCGGGACAAAAACAGCCCCCAGTCCTTCCTCTGCTGGCACTGGGTCAATCCCTGGGCCCATAACCGTTGTATCTGGGGGTTGGTCTTGGGTTACACCCCTTCTGTGATGTATGTATGATGCTTCTGGGGGTGTTCTTGGACTCCAGGGTGGGAAATTTAAAATGTCTATATAAGAGCTTGCACACATGGCTCAGGGTTCTCCTCCTCTCTCCTGCATGCGGGGGAGCACCCTGTTGTAACAGTTAATAAAGATCAGGTTTACTAGCTGCTTTGCTTCTCAATATTCTCTGGTTGGTCTCTGTTATTTTCTCCTAATAGAGAACCTACAAAAGCACTCAGAGAAGAGAAGACTCCCTGAAAAAGACCCTGATGCTGGGAAAGATGGAGGGCACAAGGAGAAGGGGACGACAGAGGACAAGATGGTTGGACAGTGTTCTCGAAGCTACCAGCATGAGTTCGACCAAACTGCGGGAGGCAGTGGAAGCAGGAGTGCCTGGCGTGCTCTGGTCCATGGGGTCACGAAGAGTCGGACACGACTAAACGACTAAACAACAATAACAAAAGCACTCTATATGGGCTCTTGGGTACCCCATAAGGGAAAAGGAGCAGTTTTTTTTACTTACACCAATTCAAAGTTACAAAACTTTTCAAATAAAAATAAAAATTAACAAGTGCCTAATTTTGAGGCTCTCTTTGAGATTGAGGCTGCAGATGAAGTGAGCCTCCTGACACCCCACTCTAGCTGGCCCTAATTGCAGGTTAGGGGGCGATGCTAAAAGATAATTTACTTAGATAATTTATTTAATTTTGATAATTTACCCTGCAATGTAATCTGCTGTTAACATTGCAAACTGTTAACTTCATCTCACACAATTATAGAGGGCCCATGTACATAAGCGCTCCCCGTTCAAATGAACCCCAAAAGCTAGGTGTTGCTTATCTACACTGTAACTGTTAAAGGAATTCAACAGCGCCACTGTGTCTAGGAAACAGGTTCAGCTATGCAAAACCAGCAATATTCCAATTCAAAAGGGAAACATTCAATTCCTTTTTGAAATAACCTGAAAAATAATAATGCAACAATGATAAAGTTTACACACAAAGTTTATTTCACTCATGTCACAGTGTAGGAAAAGGTGGGGAGGGAAGGTTACAAGAAGTGGTGATCTGTCAGATCACATGCAAATTCACGAACTAGTTGGCTATCTCATGCAAATCTCTTCACTGTAAAGGGAAACAATGGTAGAACAATGCAAGACTATTGTTCCTGTTATCTTTTTGCAAAGGAACACCTGGGATGTACTGATAAACTCATGACCTGTAAAACCTTACATGTGGTTGCCTCCCCTTCAGTGACACTGGCCTGACATTTTCTAGGTGCACACCTATAGACCACCCAAATCAACGGGTATAAATGGAACCTTTTTTTTGTTTCAGGTTCTCTCTCCTTCCTGCGAGTTGAGAGTGGGAACCCTGTTGCAGCAGTATTTCTAATAAATACCTGGCTTAGCAGCCGCCTTGCTCAGAATACTCAGTTAGCATCTCCCGCTTCTTCCCTAACCGACAGAGGAGCCTCCCGGGAACTCTGGACGCTGGTTGGACTTCCCAGCCAGCTTTTTCCCGGGTGAATTTATTAAACAAAGTCAGGGGGGGGGGGTTGGGACTACAACCGGATTCCCAGTCCAAAGTCTCCCGTGCAGAAGAAGCCAGTCTAACTGAAATCGCCTCCTCCCAGACTAAACGCGGAGCATATTTCCGTGGGGAAGCCTCGTGTTCCACTGGTTTACATACAGCCAATATCGCGCTTTTAAAGATTCAGAGACTGAACCCAATTTTCCCACTTGGGAGTAAGATCCGAATTGGGCGCGGGGGAAACACCCCAATCAGGGGACACCTGTTTCGGCCGCGTGTGAACGAGAGGCAGCTGCTGCCAATCACCTGCAGCAACTACACCCCGCGCGTGGGCAGCCCGCCTCGTGCGACGAAGCAAGCTCCTCTTGCAGGTGAGCATCTCTCTCCTCCTTATCTCTGTGGCTTCCACTCTATCCCGCCCGCCATTCCGCTCTAGCCTTTGTTTCCCTTTAACCTCTATGGTGTGGTGCGTGACTTGGCGGGAGACTCTCTGTAAGCTGTTCCCGCGTGTCGCTGGTCCCGCCATAGGCACGTGGGCGCTGGCCTATCCCTGCGGCCTGGGCGGAAGTGCGCGGGTATCCATGTTGAGAGGCTGGGCGGAAACCGAGGCCTGCTGCCTTCCCGCCCTCGCTAAGATGGAGGCGACGAGCCGCCGGGGTTGTTAAGCGCCCCGTCCTCCCCACCCCGCCCCGTCCCCCGTAATTAGCCGGGAGTTGCTGGGCGTCGTGGAGCGGCCTTAGGGTGAGTCCCGGAGGAGGCGGTGAGGGACCCGAGAGCTTCGCGGCTTCTCCGTAGGAGGGCGAACGGTGGCCGGATGCCGAACAGCTCCGGGGGGGGGCTCCAAGTTCCCCCTCAGCGAAAGGAACTTTTAGGGAAAAGGCGGGTCGGTGGCGGGGCTGAGGCGGGGAAGCGCAGGAGGGGGAAAGCCGCGGGGAGGGGACGGGGGTTGCCGACTTTTTGGACCGGCCGCTTCGAGAGCCCCCTTGACCTGGGATGTACAGAAAAGCCCTTGTGGTAAAAAGCGCTGTCCGTCGACTTGCGCCCACGGTTGCGTGTTTTTACACGCTAATATAGGGAACGGTTGCTAGCGGAGGTGTGGGGGGGGGGAGCAAGGGCAGGCAGGCTGCTCCTCTCCCTCTTCTTCCCTGCTCAGTTGGCAACTGTGGCTCCTGGAGTCATTGCGGGCGCAAATGTTAGTCTTGGGAGGTTGGAAGTGGCGTGTTGCGAGGGGGGCCGTGAAGAAGCTGCTCTGGACACCAAGCATTTATGAGACGCTCTGTTTTCCTTGGCGTAGAAGAGTCTTCTTTGGCCATCATTCCTAGCTGAGTAAGATTGTCTTCCATAGTCTCCAGTTCCAGGCTGTGGGAGAAGGCACCGCTTGCTAGGCTTTGGAGAGGGGAGGTCCCTGCTGGATCAATAGCACTTGGGCATTATGGGACTTTTGACTGCCTTTTTCTTTCGTGTAAGGAGGGGAGAACACAGGGGAGGGTCATCATCATTACAGCATTAACTTGTCCGAAAAGCAAAATTAAAGCAAGTATATATTTTTTAAAGGACTGGCATTTGCACACATGCTTAGCTCTTGTTTTGACGTTTCTCATATTTAAACTCGCCAAGTTCAGGCACATTGCTTGCTTTATTTATTTATTGATTTATTGATTTATTGATTCTTTCTTATAGATAGATGGAAGGAAGGGTATCTTTCATCTGTCTTCCATACACTTGTGCTTTGTATAAGCACCCCATCACTAAGGGCGTTGTCTAAAGTATCTTTCTTTGCTCCCCTCCCCAGCAACTTTTGAAATTACTTTTTTGAGTTTGTTTATAACTAATCCGGAGCTGGCTCTGACATCGTGGAAAAATGGTTGGAGAACGTGTTAAATATTTTAGAGGGAAAGTTTAAAAATAAGGGAGTGCGCAGGTCCTTACATCATTCAGTGCGCCCGTCATTTTTACGTAAGACGCTGAAATGAAAGTTGCCGAATGACAGCCGGCATTTGCTGCTTAGTTGTCCTGCCTAGCCATTTTAAGTAAAGCTTAGCAACAAGGAAGTGATTTTTAAGAGATTAGTAATGCATTGGAAAGTGAACAATAAGTAGACAGCAATGTATGCTCATCATCGTGCGGCAATCTCAATTCTAGGAGTGCCTGTCTTTATATAACCGAAATGGCACCTTCCATACACAAGCTGGAGATATTACCAGGCTTGAGGGAATGCCCAAGGTTCCCAGAAATAAAAAACAAACAAACCATATTTAAGAAAACAAGGACCCTAAGGTTTGGAAAACTCAATAGCCCAGTGAGTTCTTGGCATCCTCCATTGCAACAGAATACTAACTGACTGTTGGGGATGAATGGAAGGCAAATAGAAAGTAGTATCCTGAACAGGCGCATTCTCACTGCATCACTTGTTTATTTTAAGTCCCCAAACAGTTCACGGGGGACTGATCATTTTCTGTGATCTCAGAATTCTGGATGACTGTTATAGCATGTGGGATGGTATTTCTACACATTTTTCTGTGTCATCTTAAAGGGCATAAATGAATGCTTGTAGAATCAGAATTGTAGAATTAGAAGATATCCCAAGGGTCATCTCGTCCAACCCTAACCCCCTGCAATGCTTGATAGTACCAGCTTGCAACAAAGTGTTTTTGCCCCCTCTCCCGAATATTGTTATAGCTGCTAATCTCATGGCAATTTACAACCATTGGGCACAAAAATAAGTGATAAGATCTTGGGGATACTTATATGACCAAAACTAAGACCACCTTATTACTCTTTTTTCAGTTGGTGACGACTTAAAAAACCTACAGGTACACTTACCAGTCAAGTATAAATAAAGCTATTATGAATGAAAAGTCTGCAACTCATTTATTAGACCTTAATGGGGTATTTATCTTTCCTCTGAAATAGCTTCTTCAAAGTGAAGTCCCAAGTAATCTTTACTCTTCTGACCCTTTGAACCCAAAGAAAACCCAAGTCCCCTAGGACATGCTCAGGCAAGTCCTGAAACAGTGAATGTGTTCAGATGAGTCACTTGAACAGCGGAGTCATTCAACTAGTATGTACTGGAAATTCTACCTGTTATAAGGAAAAAACTGCTTCTTTTCCCTTATGGGGTACCCAAGAGCCCATGTAGAGTCCTTTTGTAGGTTCTCTATCGGTAGGAGAAAATAACAGAGACTAACCAGAGAATATTGAGAAGCAAAGCAGCTAGTCAGCCTGATCTTTATTAAAGCTGTTGCAACAGTGTGCTCCCCCCCACAGGAGTTGGGGGGAGGGACTCAAAACAAAGGTATGTCCACCCTTATACAGTCATACCTCAGGTTACAGACGCTTCGGGTTGTGTGTTTTCAGGTTGCTCACTGCGCCAAACCCGGAAGTACCAGAACAGGTTACTTCCAGGTTTCGACGCTCACATGTTGCGCATGCGCAGAAGTGCCAAATCACAACCCGCACATGCGCAGATGTGGTGCTGCGGGTTGCGAACGTACCTCCCATACGGATCACATTCGCAACCTGAGCGTCCACTGTATAGACTTTGAAATTGCCCACCCTCAAACTCCAGACCACCCCCAGAAACATCATACATACATCACAGGGGGCGGTCTAAAACAGAATCCTGAGTGTGTTGTTTATCTCCTGTCTGCCATTTACCTGATTGCATTATCTGGGTTTTGGCCACTCTTCTGTTACTATAACTACTTAATTCCTGAATTCAGGACAAATACTCACCCTATTCACACATTAAATGTACCCTTAAGGCAGGATTTGTGAGCACAGAGACACTTGGGAGATTTCCCCCATTTCCTTTGACCTTGCAGAGAAATATTTCAGGTCATTTTGGGAGAGAGAAAATGGTTTTCTGTGGGTTTCAGACATGTGGTTTACATATTAGTATGCATTTGCTTGGAACATTTATGAACATCTATTTTATTGGGAAGTACGTCCATGTGTCTAGTGTTTTATGGTTTTAAATAAATTGTGGCCATCATGTTCTGTTAAGCTAAATATATTTTTTAGCTGTTTTAAAACTATTTTCTGAATTCTTAAACTTCAAGTGCTGTTGTGAGCTCTAAGAGAAAGTCATAGTTATACATAGATGTCATACTTTTTGCCAGCCATCATTTACAAGGTTATCCAAAGATCCAAACCTGGTTTAGCCTACTATTAGTATTCTTTACTATGGAAAATCCAGCTGGAGGGATTTACTTATTCCGTCAGAGGTTAAGAAACATGACATGAACTTCCATTACCCCTAGCCTGTTATTTTAAACCCCACCACTAGGACATGCAGGTCTGTACATGTTTTATAGTTATTTTGAAAACTACCACATTAGAGAACAAGGCTGTCAATTCAGTGCATGTAAAATGTCTTCCCTTAATTTCATTCTGAAATATTGGAATTTGGATGTAATCCTTTTTCTATTTAATTAATTAATGTATACATACTAAGTTTGTGTCTATACATAGGTTGCATAGGTTTTTAATCAGTTCGACTTTTCAGTCTGACTTGTTTAAATCTGATAATACACAATCCATAGATCTACTGAGATCTCATGCTTATCATTTAGTAGCCATCTCATTTAGCCTCTAGATATCACAGTCTCTCCACAAGTTGCAATATCCATACCAAACCCAACATTTGTAATAAAGCTCATGTCCATACATGCTTCAGTATGATTTACTTCAGAATAAATACCATAGGAGAGAGCTCTGATACTGCCATTTTAACTGGCTGTTTATTGTAAATGGTGCCACAATAAATAATTCTGGATTCTGATTTAGGGATTTTTGCTATCTCATGCTTTCTTTGCTGGAACTGAGTGAAAATAAAGCTTGCTTATTTGAAAGCTCTGCATATAGCATACTGTATTTTTCGTAAACACTTGTGGAACTTTTCAGTTTATAGGATAAACTGTAATTATATCATTAGCTTTAAGCACTAGTACATTCAGTTGCTTGCCCCAGCCCTGCTTGCTGACCAAGTTAACCATGATTGGGTACTAGTTTAATGACTCAGCTGTTAGTGTTCAAGTGACTCATCCTAACAGTCACTGTTTTTAGGGATTTGCCTCAACATGCCAGAGGGGACTTGGTTATATTAGGGCTCAAAGGGTCAGAAGAGTAAAGATTGCTTTGGGTGCACTTCGAAGAAGTTGTTTCAGACACTAGTCTCTAGAAGAAGAGGAAAAATATCTAGTTAAGGTGCAATAAATGAGGAGTTGCAGGCATTTCCTTCATAATTGCCTAATTTATGTTAGACTAGTAGGTGTTGGATTTTTTAAAGTTGTTAACCAAACTTAAAAAATAGTAATAGAGTGGTCTTAATGTTAGACATGTAAGTACTCCTAGGATCCTATTATTTAATTTTGTGCCAAATGGTTTTCTAAGGCTTCTGAATAGCATCTGTTCTGGCATAGTTTTGTGTGTGCTTTCTTTCAGACTAATTGGTAAATCTTATTTTGGATTTAGGCTTGTATTGAAGACAGACCGCTACTTCACTGCCAAAATGTCATCTTCCACCTCTACACAATATCTATCACCAGAGAGTGCCTGCAGAACATCACCTCAACAAGTCAAACAGGTAACCTATTATTATGAGTTTTTTGGGAGGAGGGGTTTGACTGAAGCCTGGGCCCCATTTTAATTCCTGGATCCAGCATGGATTCTGTTGCTGGAATAGCCAGGCCAGCCTGCTAAAGGCCTGCTAAATATGGGTCCTAAGGGGAACAAAGGGAGTGGCTCCAGTCAGAGGGCAAATGGGTGGGCTACCCTCCCTCAGCTGTCTGTTAGAAAGACAAAAGGTCAGATTTGTATTATTTGAACCAGAAGGTCAGACTGGAAAGGCAGACAGAGAGAGAGCCATGTTTCATTTGACTTGAATCCAAAACTGCAGGTATGTAAGAAGCAATACCATTTTTGGCTGTTAATGCTGTGAACCCCTCCATCGTAGGCTCAGGTTGTATATATGTATAAATACAGGCAACGACCGATTTACACATGTCCAACACATGCATCACGGCGACCCAGAAGTGGCTGGAAAAGCGGGTGTAACACGCAGCAATATAGATGGAAGCGGGAAAGACAAGTGCAGTCAACAGTGGGTGCTAATCAAGCAGGAAGGAGTTCAGCTTCTAATTTTATTTGCCATTAATGACAACTGGCTTTTCCATTGGGATTTAGTTCCCTAGTATATTAATTTAGAAGTGGTACTATCTATCATAGTTCCCAGGTAATATGATTAAGCATGTTTGTTTATTCTCACTGCTGGGAGAAAATATTGACTAAATAAAGACATTTGAGTTAATGGCCATATATTAGCTGTCAAATTTAGTATTCTAGGGAGCTGAGAATAATCTAATCTTTATATCCAATTTGGCTATGCTGGAGTTCTTAGGGTCCCAAGTGAAATACATTGAGGTGGTTCAGGTGTTCCTCTTTGGAGTTAGAATGAAATGCAGAGGGCAGGGTGTCTTAAAATGAAGAAATCAACCCATATGACAGAGGCCCCTTAAGTTGGAATCTGGAACTATTCTCTCATTTAATTATTTGGTTGTGTATGAGCCTTGTGTTTGATTACTGTAGCACTGAACTTTAAGTGAGCTTAATTTGTGTCCTGCTGCCCGCAAACGGTTTCAAAAGCAGGCATGCAGTTTTGATGCTTCCCTTGGGCTTGATTTCGGAAAACACAGGAGTCCCTAAATGGTTGGTCTTTTCAATTTGTAGTGAGAGTGCTGGGAAACAGTTTCCAACAAAATTCTGAGCTAAAGATGGGTAACATTTTGGAATTTGCAGTGCATTTGCTGCCTTGGTACTGTTTGGAAACTGTGTGATTAAAAGCTGTTGGTGACACAGAACTGCATTAACTCCACAGACATGTGGGGAAATGGGAGTCAGTACGACCAGTGTAATTTTGAAACTGGTCTAGAATGACTCTAGGTTGCTAACTCCCTTGTTCTGCCCGCTTAGCCTGAACATATCAACACTTCACCTTTGTCTCTCATTTTAGCATTGGGAATATAGAGGGTAATGAGGTGTTTAATACAGACCAATGGGCCTTCTTGCTTCAGGCATTTCATTGTTTCAGCCTTATGAAAGCTCTCATATAATGTTTCACTTGGAGTTGATATAATTGTGGCCCTAATTGGGTATTATGACTGCTGCAGTGAGAGAGGGTGGGGAAGCAACATGTGTGTTATGATACTTGGGATTTGTATGTTGCTGTTACCTCTCATTCTCGTTCTCTTTAAATCTCTATTTCTCTCTCTGGTAAAGTGAAATGTATGATTTACATTGAGGTTATGCATTGTTTGTAGTGACTTCATCTCCTTAGAATTATTTGTTTCAAAGGTGCATTGGTGGGGATGGGACATTGCAGCTGTGTGTTTCAGGTTTGCATGAAGCATTTAGTTTACTGTTCTGGGATAGTTATGGGCAGCATTTAATCTGTCACCTCACACAAGTTATGGAACATGGCTTATAGAAAACTCTCTTTATCACATATCTTAGCTACGACCAAAACCGCCACTCCTGAAGATTCTGCGAGCTGCAGGTGCTCAAGGTGAAACTTTCACACTAAAGGAGGTGAGTTGATACGTACACTCTTCTGTATTGGAAACAGTTTTGATGGTTGCCTTATTTTATGTATTTCTATGCGACTCTTCAACCACACCTAATATTGCTGAAATGCCCCCCTTTGACTTCATAGCCCAAACAAATGAAGTTGCGAACACATTTTGGCTCACCCCTATTGGAAAACCCCTCTCACTTCCCATATTTAGGCTGTTGAAACAGGAAAGTATAATGGTAACTTCCACAAAATGAGGATTGTGCATATGGTCTTTGAATTATATCTGCTGTCTTATGCTCCCTAATATTTACTTCTTTTTGGTAGTCAGTGTTTATTTGACACAAACATTTGCCACTTTCAGATGCTGTTTCATCTGTCCTCTTAACACTTCGAGTTTGCTACCTTTTGATTTCCTTGTGGTGATTGATATGCTGCTGTGTGTAATTTTGCAAGTTTATTCCGGATAATTTAGTTGCTAGAATGAAATGTTTCTGCTTCTTCCCAATAACCTGAGTGAGCAGTGTTGGTGAAAGTGGTTTTTTTTTGGGGGGGGGTGTCCCTAAAGACTATCCATAACTATTCTTAATAACGCATCCCCTAGTTTGAGCATGGAGGCTGAAATATGGAGGGGCAGATTTTGGTCTCAGCACTTCTGAACCTTTCATGTGAAATAGGCACATCCTTATTGCCATGGGTGTGTGTTTTATTCATCAAAAGGTTTTTTGAGCTGCCTGTTGCAGATGCTAAAAGAGCAGCAGCTTTTTTATTGTTGAATAGCTATTATAAAATGATTTAGGGCTATCGGTCAGTATTAAGAGTGGGAGGGAAACTGCATTAGTAATCCTGCGAGACTGTTAGAAATGTTTCTTGTTGCCAATTGAAGCTTGAAAGTTTTTGAATTATACTTTTTTATTTTCTCTCATTTCATTGGAAATGTCTTGTCAGCTAAACCCAAGACACCCTGTGAAATCATTTATTTTAAGATGAAAATGCAAAGTGTGTACAAGATTAGAAAAATGACACTAGCTGTGATTTACAGGGGTATCCTGTCAGCTAGGAATTAAATGCAGTGGCTTTTCATTAGGAATGTGTCAGATATTCCTGTAGTGCTCCGTGACTTATTTTAAACACTTATGCATTTAAATAACTTATTTAGCTTCTAATATTTTTGCAAAAAACAAATTGAATACTTTGAATGGAAGGGGTTTTAGTGTTAAAATGTTAATTTGCCACACCAGACTACATTTAGCGCAGTAAGGGCTTGTCCCCCAGCAGTGGGTGGAAGCTGCTAGTAGTTGTTCATTTTGCATTTATCTTCTCTAGGTGAGACTCCCCCCTCCCTTTTGCTGGAGACACAGAGGGGTGACTAGGCTTTTATGCTTAATATATTACATGAGGGATAGGCTCCACTTGTGTGTTATATACTAGTATGTGGCTGCACCACTTCAGTTGGATCTGGTTTGCAGTTCAAGAATTATCTGATTGCAGGGTCGCTGCCTTAATTTTAAACTTGCAACTCTCACACAAGGAGTGGGGCACTGTGTCTATTGGCCTTATTTCTGAAGGCAGCCCAGGATTGGGAAGTTTTTAATGTTTGATATTTCATTATGTTTTTATATGTGTTGAAAGCCACCCAGATTGGCAGGGGCAACCCAGCTAGTTGAGTGGGGTATATTATTATTATTATTATTATTATTATTATTATTAATAAATAAATAAATAAGCTGATTGGGAATACTTGACCTAGATGCTAGATCTGCCACTGTGCTTGAATGCTCTGAAGGGATGCAGTGTATCTGAGCAGTGTTTGGGACACCCATGGGAAAGTAGCCCTAAGCTGCTCAGAAGGAGGTTAGGGTATTTGTAACAAACTTTTATTACACCGTGAATATATATAAAAACTTCTCTGATGGTTATAATGACAACTACTTTATATCTGCTTAATACAGAATTCCCAGCTTTTAAAAATCTACCTAATACAATAAAATAAACATTGAGCATATGTATTATTTACATATTACCATCTCCTGCATTATAGCTAATGCCACTTTCTGTTTACCTCTGTTAAGCTGTAGACCAGGGATGGTGAACCTTTGAGCCTCAAGATGTTGTTGGACTCTGATTCTCACCAGCCCCAGCCAGCATGGCCAGTGGTTAGGGATGATGGGCGTTGTAGTCCAGCAGTGCTAGAAGGATCAGTGGTTTCTCAGTCCTGCTCTAGATTGGTTATATTTCCAGACAGTTTAAGGTCCACAGATATCAATGTTCAGATCTACAGTTGTGTCATCTTTGAGATCCCCATATATCCAAACTCCAGCCAGTGGGGTTCTAATTAGGGAATGAATATGGACTATAAAAAACTACCCATGTCTGTTTATTCTGTGTTTCCTATTTCCCCCCCCCCCCCCACAGTTGCTGATGTCTTAAGTGGTTTGCTGAGTTATCCCTGAAGTGCTTTCTCCAGCGCTTTGAATGCAAACTGCTTTCTAAGGAGAGAGAGAAATGTTCACGTTTTAAAAATTTGCACATTTTTTTCTTGCCATGGAAAGCGGTTTGGATGTGGGAGTTCCATTTTAGCTGGATTGTGGAGTTCCGTGTAAGGTTCATATGACTCCGATTCTGTGAACCCCTATTTTAAAACAGTTATGTTGGTTGCCATTATGATTCCAGGCCCAGTTCAAGGTGGTAATTATTCTGATTTTACTTATCAACCCACTTGTGTGCCACGACCTGCAGGTTGGGGAGCACTTGATGTATATATGACCCTCTTACGCCATGTGGGTAGCTGAAAGATAAAGGACTGAAATTGGAGGAATTAAAAGTCTGTTGTCTCAATTGCCCCATCAGCACAAGCATTCCTGCTTGCCAGATGGAGTGATTCCCCCTCTCCTCCCCACCAGTATTCTGGGGATTCTCCTGACCCTCTAGAGTGGAATTGGGGCAGGAGAGGATGGGAAAGCCCTGTTGCACTTGTGGAAGCTCTTGTCCTCCATTCTGCTAGCTCCCTGTGTTAGTTGAATCCAACCCTCAGTATCTACGTTGGTTCAAAGGATGTGATAAGATTTAATTCATAAAATAAGAGAGCTTTAATTCATAAAATCAGATGGGTGGAAGCCATATAAAATTACAACAGTGTTTTTACTGACTAGGAGCACTATCGTTGTGTGATGTTATTTACAGAGGAAAATGTTCAACAAATGCTGAAACAGTTGTAATAGATAACAATCCTAACTGGTTTAATTATTGCTGCATGTCTTAAGTTTTTTTTGTTGTTGTTGTTTTTTTTGCCTAGCTTGTACATTACCTTGGGGAGTATATCTCAAAGAAGCAGCTATATGACAAAAAACAGCAGCACATGGTGTATTGTGGAGGAGACCAGCTGGGGGATCTTCTAGGTTGTGAAAGCTTCTCTGTGAATGACCCAAGGTAGGAAATCTTTAAAACATACATAGAATAAGTTTCCTGTGTGTAAAGCAACTTTCTAATCTACAAGTGATCCCTCCTTCCCCTTTGAGCATAATGTATTTTAGGGGTGCAAGCATCTAATTGAAATCTACTGTATTTGGCCATACAAATATACCTCATTTCCCCACCCTTATCACATTTGTATATGTAGCTGCGGATGAGGGTTACGCCATGGATATGATGAAGTAGACTTTAGTATCTGAAAGCTTAAGGCACAATAAATGTGTTGGTATTTAAGGTGCCATAAGACACTTCATTAAATAGACTTATGCTGCTTTTGGTCACATACAGCAGTGCTGCTTTCGAATTCTTCTCCATATTAAAACAAAACCTCACAGCAAATAGAAAACCAGCATGCCAGGGAGAAAAGTTGTAGCCTTGCTCTGTAACTTACGTGCTGATTTTTATTTGCAGGGAGTTTTTAGAATGGGGAGAGGTGGTCATTCAAAAAATGACTTCTGCCTAGTGATCTTCTCCGTGTTGCCACTTAACACCACCTGGCTATGTTGCATATGTAGGTCAGACCTTGAGGCTTGGAATGGGACAAAATGCTAGCCTTGCATGCAGGCTTAACCAAGCCTCCCAACAATACTGCATTTTTTGTTATTTATTTTGTCTACCCGAGGCCATTACAAAAGATAAAATTCGTAAAACAGAATAAAAGCAGAACAAAATACACTATACCACTAAAATAAATATTAGAACCAGATGTTCTCTCAGATAAGAGTTTGCTGCTTGAGGAACTTAACTTATCACCCCCACAAACTTTTCTCCATAAAATGGCCATTCTAAAGGCAAAACGGGGCACTTTCTCAGAGGTATGGGGGCACATGTCCCCTAATAAAAAGTTAACCAAATGCCCAATTGATCACTCAACTGGGGTATTTAAAACTTTGAAGAAAGCTGCTCTTACATCCTCCTAGCTGGGGCAAACCTGTGTGTAGTGAGGTAAGTCTTCAGGCACATTACCTCCACATGGGCAAATGCTCTCTTCATAGGGTAGCTGGTGATAGTGTCCTTAAACTATGGCAGAGCACCTAGACGAGCCGCAGAGCTGTAAAGGCTTTTCTCCATTTTATATTTGTGATGCTGTTAAACTGAGGGTGAGGAGTCTGATAGGGTAGATACCAGGGGTCACATTTGGACAGACATGCTGAAGTGTGATCACAAAAATCCTGTTTTAAAATACGAGATTTCATGTGGCAAGATGTCACCTCACAGTCGTAACAAACTTGGAGTCCTAAGAAAGGCCATACTTCTCAATAAGTAATTAAAGACAAGTAAAATCTACTCTCCTGATGATCCCTTTTAGAAATTGCTTGTCAACCTACCACAGCTAGATTCCTTTTAAAGGAAAAAAATGCATTGTTAACCTAAAAATCTTTGAGATACTTAATTGTGCTTGCACTCTAGATAGGGTGGCAACTGTATGAGTTAGGCTTATGAAAATTTGCAGGCTGTGTTGGCTGTTTCTACTTTCTTTAAAGATTGAGTGGAAGGGTGAGAAGGTTTGATAAGTGTGATAATACCACACTCTATCCTATGAATGAACTTAACTTTAAAAATAAATACTTTTCCACAGACCAGTTTATGAGATGCTGAAACGGAATGTGACTTCTGTTACTGTTACTGTTACAGGTAGGTTTCTTTTAATATTAGCCAAGTTTATGCATTGCTTTATAAAATTTAATTTTGGTAAGTAAAAGCATGTAAAGTCTGCTGATGAAAGTATTGAGACACTACAGCCTTCTCACACCCCCAACACATTTTGGGCAATAGTTTCAAGACTTAGGATGATGAGATTGTTAAATACAGTTGGTGGTTGTCTGATTCCCCCCCCCCCCAATGAACTTAAATTGATTGATTTCAGTGGGTCTGTTCTGAGTAATAGTCAAACACAACCCTGTGAATACAGTTGAGAGAACCTTCAGTCCAAGTGAAATCATTGTGGTTAACCCTTTATTTATGGTATTTAAATACCATCCATTCCTCTGGCTAAAGTTCATTTATCTTTCTCTGGATTCTGCTAAATGGATGAACTAGCTTAATTTGTCGGCAGGGAGCAGAATCCCAATGGTTATCTATCATTGAGATTTAAAAATGAGCCTGTGGCCCTCCAGTTGTTATTGGATTCTTGTTCAATCTTCTCCATTTAGCATGACGATTGATTGGTGAAATGGAAGTTGTGGTCCACTAACAATGAGGACCACAGGTTTCCCCATACCTGATGCATACTCTTCCATTGGTTTATTTCCAGTTCTTATATTTTGAGCAGAACACGTGGGGTATCAAATATAATTTTTCATCTTTATTTGTCTGGCAGCTTAACAAAAATTTACTTGTGGAACTCTTCCCATGCCCCCTTGTTTTTGGCAAGGTCCTCAATTTGCTCACTTTCTGCTATTTGGGGGGAAATGATTTGATTTATTTTATTTCTATGCTGCGTTTCATTCAAATGAATCCAAAAGTGGCTTACAAGCAAGGAATAACAACATGATAGAACACAATACAGTCGTACCTTGGTAGTTGAATGGCTTTGCTCCAGAACAAATCGGCTCCCAAATGCTGCAAACCTGGAAGTGAGTGTTCCAGTTTGCGAACGTTTTTCAGAAGCCAAAGGTCTGATGCGGCTTCTGGTTGAGTGCAGGAAGCTCCTGCAGCCAATTGGAAGTTGTGCCTTGGTTTTCGAACCATTTCGGGAGTTGAATGGACTCCCGGAGTGCATTAAATTCGAGAACCCAAGGTACCACTGTAGCTACTTAAAAATATTTGTTCCAGTTAGTTGGCAAACTATATCCTGCAAGTAGTGGCTGTATTCACCTCGTATGAAATGGCAAGCATAGAAATCATGGGAAACACAAATAAAATGTGAAGGAAAACCATTTTTTGTAGTGATCCTCTCCACTCTTGATAGTTGTGCACCAGTTTTTCATTAGTCATTTAAATTCAGCCCGAGCAAATCCTGTGATAAACAATTATCGACGGTTCATTCTTGTCATAGTAATTCACACCTAGGTGACAACCATGGGGATATCGTCAGGTTGAATTTGAGTATTGCCTGAATGCACCTTGAGTTGTGCTGGTGCAAGATCCAAAAACAAAACTGACTTTGCAGAGCTGGCCCTTGTATTGTGCATGATAATAGCTATTTCCAACACCCAGTGATTTAAGGCTTTAGAACTTTTCTTCATCACTTTTGTGGTGCCAGTTGGCCATATTTGCCAGTCAGGTGAAAATGGGAGTTTCATTTGAAATGAAAATAGTAGCTTCAGAACCTTGGTAGAATGAGAAAATTAAACTTCGTTTCCCCACTTCTCACAGTCCTGAGGCTGATATGGCTTCCCCACTGTTTATATAACATACACATTTTTGTTTGCATTCATAACATTTTACATCCAGCTTGGTTTTTATTCATAAGGTGTGTTTTGGTGAGGTTCTCTTGGAATTTTAATGAAGATTAATTGTGGCATAGTTCTTTATTTGCGCACTATTGGAAGTCATTTGCACATTCTTGAGTGATCCACAGAATCCTTTGAGGAGCAAACAAGTGGGCTTCTACTACAGTAGAAAGTATAGCTTGGCCTGGTTTGCAGATAATGCTAAGCTATAGTTTGTTTCTCTAAAATTTGATTTGTTTTCTAGGTTCTCTTGTCTTGCACCTTTATAGTTTGGTGAGTGTCTTGGGCTGGGAGGCCAAATCATGGTTAAGGAAGGGTGCTGGATTCATGTATATCACTAAGCTATAGTTTTAAAAAATCCAAAGACCGTAAGCCAACAACCAAGTATGGTTTCTTGGCAGTAAGCAAGCCATTTAAGCTGCTGGGCACAGTTCACACATAATGCTAAACCGTGGTTTAATAAACCATAGTTTAATAAAGTCAGGATTATATGCAGACCACTCAGACTTCTGAAGCCATCCTGAGTTCAGTGGGCATCTTGTTCACTTGCATTTGAGATGTTTGTAGAATTGAATGGGTGGCTTAGAAGTACTCGGTGTATTGGGGAAAATATAGAAAAAGTGAACTTTCAGAAATTTATTGACGCTACCAAATAAAATCAAAAGAGAAGAGATGGCCTGAAAAATTAAGAAAACTATTAACAAATTAACAAGCATTTAAAGGCTTGAACAATCCGTGCACTTTGGGCATTCTGACTCCAACTTCGGCCACAAATAAATACACAATATAATTTCAGTGCATGAGTAGTTTTATCCCTCCAATTTTGTTATTGGCTAATTACAGCTAATTGATTTGAGTGGATTTGCACATTTCAAGTCAGTGCAAATATCAGTATTGAAAGATGGAATTCCTGTGAAGTGGCCCTGAATCATCATTCTCTGGCTAGAGAGCAGTTTTTCATTTAGCCTCATTTGTTGCTAACCTATATGTTTCTGGTTTATTGGACCATTTTTGGAAAACTGCTGTAAATGCTCACAAGCAGGGTGGATTTGATTTAAATCATGATTTAAATCACTAGTCAGATTTGATTTAAATCATTTTTTAACAGAAAGACTCATTTTTGCTGGTATAATCTTAATATTTACAACCAGATGAAGGTTTCATTTTTGGAATAATAAATGTTCAGAGTAGTTTTTACAGTTATATCAAAAATTACTGATTTGGTTATACTATTAGAAATACATAGATAATTATAAAATTATTGTAAGGTTTAATAAGTTTACTGTTTATAGGGGCTATATCTCCCAGCAACCCTGGCTTTGGATAGGCTGGCCTTCCTTTTTCTAGAGGGGAGGAGAGACAGTTGGTAGGCCTAGCCTGGAACAGGCTTGCAGAAAGAACAGACTGAGGAGAAACAGGCTGGTGGAAAGCTGGAAAAAGGGAACCAAGGACTGGAGCAGAGAACTTCAGGGATTCCTGCTGCAGGACTGACGTTCCAAGTAGAGACTTTATTGTTTGGACAATGTCAGGCGAGTCCTGGGAGGAAGGGCCTGGAACCAGTGAACTCTTATAAGTTGACTGGCAAGCACTTCAAGGTCTCGCCAAGGACTTACAGATCCCAGTTACTATTTCCACACACCCCCCCCCCGGATTTGCTTCTATATTCAGGTGCCTATTCTGTACAGTTAAGTGTTCGTGCAGTTGTTGGAACCCAGTGGGATTGAGAAGAGGTTGCCAGCCCTGAAGTGCCTTCAGCACTTGCCTCAAGTCTGAGTTGCACAGACATGCAACTGACTTGCACAATTATTACGCAAAGATCCCAAGACTTGAGTATTCTGCTCACAAGGTTGCACTTTCATTTTTACTGCTTCACACTTAGCTACTTGTGCAGATCTATTCCACTCCAAACAATCTGTTCATTGAACCTCTTGGAACTTAGCATTTAAGAGGTAAGGGGTTGATTCTGTGTATATAAGTTTGCAAAGGAACAATGGGATTAAGGATTTTTCCTCAACTCTGTATGCTTATTTTATAACATTTTTCCTGTGAAGAAAAGGCATGTTATCTCTGCATACACAAATTCACACTTTTGAGAACTGCAAAAACAAGCATCTGTGATAATACCTTCTCGTTAGAAAAACTGCCCCAAATAATCTTACTGAAACCTCTGGAAGAGCATGACATTGTGAAATGAATTAATGGAATTCATTTACCAAAAAAGTTAAACATTGCATATAAAGCCTCATGCTACATAATTAAAAACAAACCCTTGTTTCCTGATGGATAGTAGCATTTGGACTATAATGTAACTTAAATAGAAGATTATCTTTGGAAAGCTTTTTCCTGCAAAAGCATTTTATTTTAAAAAATTCAACTTAAATAAAAAATCTGATTTATTCATTAATTTTTTAAAAATTGATTTTTATCTACTCTGCTCACAAGGATGGAGGCCTTGCTGGAGCAGATCTTCCTTTGTAGCAGTGAAAGGACTAAACTGTCTCCCTTGCTGAGCATTAGCAGAAGTAATGAATGGATGGGCATTGGTACATTTCTATGTGTTGGTTAATAAGCTGGTTTATGTATCTTGAGCAAGGTGTTTTCATGCAACTTCTGTGTTGCTTGAAAACAGAATTGGAGCCTGGGATCTAGAAGCCCTTTTCTATTTCCCATTAAACTTGCTGTTCTAATGTCGAGGCGCTTACAGCAGTTTGTCACTTGGAAGTGCTAGGAAGATGTGGTACAAAGTGTCATGTAGGAGGCCAGAACATGAGCAGCTAAAGGGTCAGGAGCTTGAAGGTGCATATTCCATTTCTCAAGTGTGAATAGCGTAGGAATTTGAGCAGGGTTTTTGATGGGTAGGACTATATGCCCTCATCTTTAACACTTCTAACCCTACAGCTGCCAAACCTATTTGTTGGTTGCTTGTCAAGGGACCCCTCTGTGTTGTGAGAATGGTTATTACCAGGGAAGGTTTTTTCTTTCTTTACCTGCTGTCTAGATGCTGCACAGAGACTTGCTCTCGCAAAGGATCAAAGCATGAATAATCCAAGTCAAGAACAACTGAAGGTAAACCCTGATGGGTGGTTTCTTTTGTCGTACAGAGTTGCCCCTTCTCTGTACCTGTGCACGGTGGACTGCTAGAACTTTTGAATTTCTTGACAGGTGGGCTTCTGCCTTCCTCAGAAGTTTTGGGGAGTCCACAGACCAGGGACAGAGTGACCATTCTCTGTTCTCTACCTAACAGAGTTCCATTCTCTGAACATGTTTACTGGGGTGTAACACTTCCTGTCCTCAGTCACACCGGCTTGTGTTGTTGTCAGTATTCCTGGATGGGATTTTTTGAACAGAGGGTGATTTAGAGTTACTTACTAGTGTCTTTCTTTAAACACTTCTAATACCAGGCAGATCTTTTTTTCTGGTACTATTGTTGGATACATTTAGGCCAGCTTGAGAAAGAGTTATATGATTTGTGATGGAGGTAAGGAGTTAGATGTCACTAGTAGATAGCAGCTTTATTTATTATTTATTTTGCTGGTTTATAACGTAGAAATGCTGCTTGATATTACCAGATTCTTGATATGCTTTGTTAATTTTGCTTTGTATGCTCAAACCTTGACACTCTTAACTCCTCGGTGTTGCTCTGCAACTGGTGACTCAGAAAGGAAGTGTTACATCCCTGTGTCTCTTTAAGACCTGTTGGGCTAATGATTCTCTCCTTCTTCCTTTAAGCAGAGTAGCACAGACAGAAATTGCACTTATGGGCGAAAAGAGAATGAAGTTGACACACCTGCCTTGTCTGTCTCGAATACGTTCAAGGAGGATGAAGGTGAGTTCCTTTGTTCTACATTTGGCCAAGATTTTGCTGTTCTTTATTACATTCGGATCTGGGCTCTATTCTCAGTATTGCTTCCGTTATATGTGATCATATGCACAGGTTCAGACTTCACACATTGGTCAACAAGCACTAAGAGTAAGTCACAGTTCTCTGTTCATCTCTGTTGTAACAGGTGGGTTCTTTATCCTCACTAGAGTCCTTCTGTGCATTTTGTAGAAATGTGTGTCCTGTCAGTAGTATTGACTAGTGGTAGATAGGGATGGCATCTCACTGTAGGCAATGTGCCTTTTTATTTAAAAGTTTCTTTGGATGGCAGGAGCTTAATCTTGTGACAAGGGTTGGGGGCAGATATGATGCATCATCATCATTTTATTTGAATGCTGCCTTTCCATAGTTAAAACCATGTCCAAGGTGACTTACAACATGAAAAGATTTACATAAGTATTAAGGAGTCATACACAATAAACAGATCAAAAGGTATGTGACAAAATTGAACAATTCCACATAAGTCATAATAAGATCTAACAAAAAAGATACAAAAATATAACACCAACAAAACCTCCCAAAGAAACCTCCTAAACCAGTGGTTTTCAACCAGTGGGGTGCCATGCGGGCAACACTGGCCTCTGTCCCTCTTTCCTTCCCTCACTTTTCTGATGTCCTCTTGTGTCTCTGCCTCCCAAAGGCTTGCACAGCAGTAGCTCTGGCTACAAGCTCCGCAGGCAAATGGTGCCTCTGGGGCTGGTCCTGGGGTGCTGGTTGCGAGGAGCTGAGATGACCTCAGAATAAGAAAGGGCGAGGGAGCCCAGTCAGCCAGTCCACCGGCTCTTGATGTTGGGAACAGACAGACAAGTCGCAGGCCCATGTGGAGCAGTGTGAGGAGGCACCTCTCTTTGGGGCAGGGGGGGACAGCTCAAAGACCAGAGCAGCAGCTGCCCAGAGGACTCCCAAGGAGAAGGGAGAGGATGCTGAGGGAACACTCCACAAGGGAGGGTATTGGAAAAAGGATAAGAGGCTGCCAGCTTTGCAGGCAAGGGGTGACATAACTGGGTTCCTGAGGTCCACAGGAGTGCTGCAGAAAGAATGTAGTTGGTCAAGGGAGCTATGGACTCAAAAAGGTTGAAAACCTCTGTCCTAAACAATACTCCAGCTCGAAAATCTGTACAGCAGCCACAGCTTTTGTAGCTGGAGTCACATGGTTTAAAAACATCCCGCTCTGATCATCTTGTCTGTGAGTCCTTTGATTTTAGTTGAATTTAAGGGGGAAACGGTTACAGAAACAACAGCCCCTTATCAAAATTGATACTGCATGTGAGCAAAAGTGAACTTGAAGGTCCTACAATCTGTATAATCTTTAAGGAATGGCAGAGAGTTTTGCTGGGGAGTCATTTAGTTATTCCATGGGGAAGGTGGGTGGCTCAGTAGTAGAATATCTGTTTTGCATGTAGAATGTCCCAGGTTCAAGCCTTGGCATATCCAGGTGGGTCTGCAGGGGAAGACTCATGGTCTGAAGCCCTGGATATCAGCTACCAGTCATTGTGAACAACATTAAACTTGATGGAATGGTATGACTTGGTATAGAGCAGTTTACTCTGTTTTGAGAGTATCTACATGCTTTGGTCTGCCTTATTTCTTCATGCAAGTGTAGCTGATATGGCAGTGTTTCCCAACCTTTTTGGGCAAAGGCACACTTGTTTCATGAAAAAAATCTCGAGGCACACCACCATTACAGCCCCGTGACGTCAGCGCGCAGCGTCACGCCGGGAGGGACATGAATTGCTAGCAAATTACATAATCACCTCCTTGAGGGCTGGCTCATCTTCTCCGAAGGCAGAACCCCATTAATTAACAGCACAGACTCACACCATAGCCAAGACGAGGGGGGAAAACCTCAGTCATGCACAGTCATGCACATGTGGGGGCTAAATGAGGACGAAGACCGGGCAGAGAGCAGGGTTCAAATCACCCCACCTGGCCAGGACAATCCCTGGGTGCTCCCTTGGGCCACTCGCCTGACCCACCTCGCAGGGCTGTTGTTGCGAGGATAACACGGGGAGAACCACGCGCGCCCCCGGGAGCTCCTTGGAGGAAAAAGCGGGCGATGAATGCAATGCACGAAATATATGACCAGGTTTTGCAGGTGAGGGGCCCCCGCCAGCCTCCGCTTCCAACACCCGGCGCAACGACGCCGAAGTTTCCCCCCGGGCTCGGCTCGGGGAGCAGCGCTGCTCCCCCTGGCTCCCTTTCGCCCTCCCGGCTCTCTCTGCCGCCCACTGGGGACCCCCCTCACCTGCCAAGTCCGGAGCGCCGGTGGAAGTTGCATGCATACATGCATGCAGGGCGCCGCGTTGCAATTGCATTGCACTGCACTCCATGCAACGCCTGCACGCATGCATTGCCTTGCACGCCCGTAAAGGGGTCTCCCCGCGGTCCGATGCGTCCCCTCCGGCGCGGATGCAGCATTGCAAAAATAAAAAAACCCCGACGCAGCCCTACCTGGGGGGCAGCCTCCGCCTCCGCCGCTCCGCCTCCGCGGGGATCCCCGGGCTCCATCCTGCCGCCCGATCTCCGCGGGGGTGCAGGCAGGCTGCGCGGGGTCTGTGCGGAAGAGCCCCTGCCCGCCCGGCCGCCGCCGCTGCACTCATTCCATGGCCGGGAGAAGAGCGCTTCAAACAAAACGCCCGGCCCGCCAGGCCACGCTGGGAAACGTAGTTCGCGCACCCCGCGCGGGCGCGGAGCCCAAGGGCGAGGGGACTACGGATCCCGGCAGCCCCCGCGCCGGGGACGGAGGGATAGGGCCCGGGTGCAGGGATGAGGGACGGTGGCGAGTGAGTGAGTGAGTGGCAGCCTCCAAGCCTTGGCGAGAGCCAGGAAGGGCCTCCCCGGAGGAGGAGGGGTAGGAGGGAGGCGCGAGCGGGAGGGAGGCGAGGGAGGGGAACCCCAGGGGTCATCTAGTGACGGCCGCCCCAATCGAAAATTTGACTTTTAAAAAAAATCTTTCAATTTTTTAATTTTCCCCCGCGGCACCCCAGGCAAATCCTCGGGCACCCACTAGTGTGCCGGCGGAAACAAGGGTTGGGAAACACTGGCATGCCCTCCTGATGTTGGGGATTATCACTCACATCAGCTATTGCTCATTCTCCCTGGGGTTGATGGGAGTTGGTGTCTACAACCATGTTGGCTACTCCTGCCAAAGTACTTCAGGCAGAAGGATATTAATTTGAGAGTGAGCTGTGTCTCAATGCATAGGATTATCAGTCAGTTGAAAATAATTACATTTTGATCTGAACTTCGGTTGTTTCCTATAGATAACCTTTCAAAAGAACAACCCACACTGGATTTGGTGCTTGAAGAGTGGGATGTAGCTGGTCTTCCATGGTGGTTTTTAGGGAATCTGAGAAACAACTACAAGTCTAGAAGTAATGGCTCAACTGATATACATACGAATCAGGTAAATGTTGGTCAACATTAATTCCTGAGATATTTATAGGCTCTTTCCAGCTCAAGCGTTCTTTACTGTTGAGACTCTCCATAGTTTGACTTTGCTGGTGATAGATAGACTTCAGGAAAGAAATGGCCTGCAAAATATGACTTGTGAAAGTAGTGCAGGGTAAATGGCACCTACAAAGACTTTGAATCATTCATTTGAATGCTGTCGAACACTGCTGGGGGCTCATCATCGAGCCTATGTGGTGACAGTGAAGACAGCAAAGAAAGCATACGTTGCTGCTTCCATTACATTCTCATTGTGCCATCCAGCAGAGCTTTTCCAGGTAGTGCAGGGCCTTTTACTGTCTGGCCAGAAGGGGGTGACAACCAATGGTAGCTTGCTGTGACTGGTTTACAAATCATTTTAAGGATAAAATTGCTTGCATCTGCCAGGACCTTGACTCTACTGTTACAGCAGTTGAATCTCAAGAGGTGTCCAGAGCACTGTCGAGTCCTGTTGTATTTGATGAGTGTATGCCTCCTAAGGGTGGCAACATGAGAGCATGTTTTTACGATGCTCTACCAAGTTGTTCTGGCACCATGTCTGATTCAGTGGTGAAGGGATTTTGCAATATCTTATATTGTAGCTTTATTCAGGCATCATTGAATATAATGAGAAAAAGTCTTTGTAGATCAGTAAATGCCATGTCTGTCTTCTCTTTTTGCTCTAGGATGTAGACACCACCATTGTTTCAGATACCACTGATGACTTGTGGTTCCTCAATGAAGCTGCTTCGGATCAGTTTGGTGTTACAATCCCAGCTAAAACAATTGACTGTGACCATGCCAGTGAAGAAGGAAAAGATGGCAGCAAAACTGTAAGTCCCGAGAGCAAAGGAACTGAATGGTGCTTGTTCCACCAAATGAGCATGGATGTTAAGCTGGAAGTGTAAGCCATCAGAGCACTAAAGAGAACCAGTGTTATGAGAGCCAGTGGTGTAGTGGTTAAGGGTGGTAGACTCGTAATCTGGTGAACCGGGTTCGTGTCCCCGCTCCTTCACGTGCAGCTGCTGGGTGACCTTGGGCTAGTCTCTCAGCCTCACTCATCTCAGAGTGTTTGTTGTGGGGGAGGAAGGGAAAGGAGAATGTTAGCCACTTTGAGACTCCTTAGGTAGTGATAAAGCGGGATATAAAATCGAAACTACTACTACTACAACTACTACTACTTTTTCTACAAGTGTGTTCCTAGACTCACATGTGCGCCACCAGCACTCATGTATGATCAAATACATCCTGCTGAGAGATTTAGGATGTTTTGCTGGAGTTATGACATGCGTTTGTTACGGATGTGTTGTTAACCCTTAATTTTATGCCTACAAGAAGCTCTCAGACAAAGAAATAAAGAAAGCATAGTTTATTATAGAAAATAGGAGTCATACAGGAAATATAAATATGCTGCTTTAGACAGCAAAGTTAGTCTACGCTGGTAGCAAATTACAATACATACACTCCCTAATTAAGGAGTAAAAGATACCTAACTATTCTAAAAGGCCCACAGAAGGACGGACATGACAATTTTGCAATAAACCAACACTAGAAGGGGGGGGGGGAGGAAAGTATACCTCTTGTTAAGGCAAAGCAGAAGTATGCAGAGGCTTAGGGAGTACTGGATAAGTTCTGTCCTGTTGGAGCTATGAGAGCCCACTAGCCTTGGACTCTAATGGTTTTTTCATACATTTTTGCCAATGCATGCCAGTGGAGAGGGGAGGGGGCTGTGAAATGAGTGGTTCTTACAATTTCCATAACCCCTTCCAGATTTTCCTGCCTATTTCTCACCTTGCCCATCCTGTTCCTGTTTGCTTAACAAAAAGATGAAAGATTTGTGATTGTGAGGATTTATGTGAACCTAGGCATCTGTCTGTGATCTGCCTTTAAATCACCTCACCATTGTGCAACCATATATTTGCATGTGTTCATCTTTAGATCAGATGTGCGTGAACTCAGGATATTCCTGAATGCCTTTCAGCAGGTGATTGGGATCAGGCTTGTTTCCTGGTTCATGGTGATTTTTGTGTCATATTATAGTTAAGCCAATCTTGTACTTAGGCCATGATCTACAGAGATAAACCATATCATAAATTCAGATTCACACACCTTTTGTCACACCAGTTCTGCCATTATTTTTAGTAATCTGATGGCTTGCACTTTCAGTGGTTTATTTTTCTTTTTAGCAAAGGTTTCCATGCAATGTCATGGGCTTGTCACATTGGATGACAGTTCCCTCTGTGATTCATTTCATGGTAATAGATGGGCGAGAAGCTCTCCATATTTCAGTAGTTCGCAGGAATTCATGTCTAGATTTTCAGCAAGTTTTTAAGACAAGAACAACTTGCATAAAAAATAACCTGCAGATTTTCCCCTCAAGAGTAATGCATGATTACGTGAGTCAACTGACATACTCGTTGAGAGCCATCATAGACTAGCAGCTGATGCATAGGATTTTGGCCATGGGACACTGGTCTTGCTTTGTGATCTTTTGCAAGATGCAATTTATTCCCATTCTCTAGATAGCAGTGATGACATGGGGGTTGTGAGGGGAGAATACAGCCACTAAAAGTGTTGCAATGATCTGGTGCAGTGGCTTTCAAGCTTTTTGACAAACCACATTCATTCTTCAGCTCCCCTGTGGGATACGGGGGAGTCCACACTTACATGGGGGTTCCATTCTGGGCCACCATACACACTACTGGCCTCATCAATAGCACACAAGTGGGCTTTTAACCTAGTGCTTGCCAAACCAAAGAATATTTACATATTACTGCATTTTAAATTTAAATGTAGGCCCTGGCTGCAATGAATTCTGGAAGCAGAAGGAATTAAGTAGCAGGCAACATTAGGCCAAAACAGGCATCAGTTGACCATAATTGCTGGCAGTCATAGGAGAATGCCATCAGTGTTGACACCTGCTTTGATTTTACAGTTTTACATCTTTTTATCCAAATTGTTTTATTTATTGCAAGATTTTTGTTTTTGTGCCGCATGCAAATAATAACAGTAAAGAAGTGCTTTCTTATTGGGGGGGGGATGCATTTATTTATGGCCATACATGTTCCTTTTTGTTATGTACTTTTTGCAGGTGAGTGAAGCTGAATCATCTGATGACTTTGAAGATTCACAGTCCTTAAACGATGACACAGACATAGATCCTCCCTCCAAGGTAAATGTACTTGAGGCTTAATAGCCCTAATTTGGCTACAAAGTTGAGCATCAAAAGTTAGAAGCATTTTTTTATTCAGGTAGTTGAAGTTCCTTATTGCATCCATAACAACAAAATACAGTGCATCTTTTTGTCCCTTTATTGTGTTTAAAAGGGCAGATGTGTCAAATCAATTTGTAGGTTTTATTGGACCATCTGAACCGGTGGTAATTCAGCTTGTCATCATCCAAAGATTGAGCTAAGGAAACTGAACACAATAGTTTCCATGGTTCAACAGTTGCAGTCTGCTTAGTTGCAGGCTTTCAGCCTTCTTACCATTTTCCCATTCTTCCGATAGCTGGTTATGGGTATGTTTATGACCAGTATAAAAAACTACTTTATTTCCTGTATGGAAAACTACTTTAACCTCATAGCTTACAGCTCAGGTGTTCAGAGGCCAGTTTTTAGCAAGTGGCTGAGGAAAACTGGTATGTGACACAAACTGATATGTGACCAATTCATATCTTCTGAGAAGTGAGAGATTTAGAACATCTATAGAGTTTTTAGAGGCCCTTATAGCATAGTAAATATCTAAACTGATAACTGAAGGTCAAAGTAGACCATCATTCATAGGCCTATGCTTTTAGTATGGTTTGGAAAAGGGTGTCTTGCTTAAGCAGTAAAAATAGTGTGCTGGTGAAGGCAGCCTTGCCTCCCCAGAGAATGTTGTTCCAGGTATTCTTTCCCTTCCTTGCTGTGATTCAGGGAGTGAGTCTGAAATAGTGAAAAGTTGGCTAGAACAATGGAGGAGGTTTCAGCCCTTTTCACCTATACTCCTTGACAGTTAAAGCAAAACACCCCATCCCCATGTTACATATGAATGATGCAGACGTGAAAAGAAGTGTGTGTCTGCATCCCATCTTATCTCATTTGGTCATGATCGTTCCACATTTGGAGAAGGGACAAAAAAGATAAACTTTTGCTGCCTGGAATATATTCATCGGGATATTTTTACAGAACCGGTTGAATATAGTCTCACTACATGACTACACTGTTCTGTGTCATTGTGGGAGCATTTTGATACTCAGTGGATCAGCACAGAGGTTTCATGGTTTCTAGTCTTCCAAATGAATCAAGTCTATAGGGAGGGAAGAGATATGATCTCTATCATTGTGGCAGTGTTCTGGTTAGTTTCTGAAATTGCCCTTTTAATCCCAGCACAAAGACACTTTCTCAGTACTTATCAGTGGACAACAGAATTTATTTCATTATTCTCTGCTCAATTTTTTCTTTCTCTGGTTTTGCATTACAATGGAAGCAGTAGTCATCCTGTTCCTCATAGCATGCAGAACCAAGTTTTGCTGCTGCTTGAGTATAGTTTAGAGTCTGTGCCAGTTTGACAAATTGGACTGTCCCCGGCACCAGACAACTGAACTATAGCTCTAAACTCAAAAAGCCATTGCCCTTGGTATATGAGGTAATCAAGTAAGCCACCATCAATTGTGTAGGTTCAATAGATTTTATATATTTATAGAGTCTGAGAAATATCCTTCTAACTGACTCAAGGAGCTATCTACTTTTGAATTTAGAATAAGACATTGAAAATTCAATATAGAGAACAGGGTAGAGACTTTGTTCTTCCAAAGGTATTATGGGAGGGGGCACAATAAAGATGAGGTTCAGCAAAAAGGACACCTCATTTAGAGGGTTCAACTACAATGATCCCCAACCGTTTTGGAAAATCTAAGAAATAGTTACACAAAAAATACCAATTTCCCCAAAACAAAACTTGTGTTGCTCAAACACAGAGAGAGCTAAACATAGACAGCCCCGCCCCCCAAAGAAACACCTTTTTTAAAAAGTTAGAATTGGAAGAGTTTTTTTGGTGGGAACTAAGGATGGGTATCTGAGGGTGCTGAGTGCCTATGGACACTCTTGAGTAGGTCGTAACCATTCTCTTAATCCATACTTAAGAACAGAATTCATGGAGCTGGTTACTGCTTCTACTGTAAGAAAGCCTTTATGTGAATGCACAAACCTGTGATTGGTTTGATTGTCTTTCTTTCATCAGGACTATTGGCAGTGCACAAAATGCAAGAAGTTTAACTCTCCCATTAAACGGTACTGTTTCCGCTGCTGGGCCTTGCGGAAAGACTGGTTCTCTGACTGCCCCATGTTAGCACATTCTCTCTCCTCATCCAACATTGCAACAATGCAAAGCAAAGAGGACACAGAAGGGATAGATGTCCCAGACTGCCGAAGGACAGTATCTGCTCCACTTATGCAGTCCAAAGACCCGTGCAGATCAGAAATCAAACCCAACCTACGTCCTGGAAGCTCTGTGGATTCTCTGGATCTTGCAGGCAAAGAGCCTTTGTTGCAGTTTGGTAAGCACAAAGAGAAATGGTCCCTTGAGAGTAGCAAAGAATTGCTGAAACCTTGCATTATGTGTCAGAAGAGGCCACGGAACGGGAATATTGTCCATGGAAGGACAGCTCACCTGGTGGCCTGTTTCACTTGTGCAAAAATGTTGAAAAAAGGCCAATCACCTTGCCCAGTGTGTAAGAGACAGATTCAGATGGTGATCAGGACCTTTATAGCATAGCAGCGTCGCTTGTCAGGTGCTGCGGACCAAGGAACATCATTCAGTGGATTATAACTAAAGGATAAAGATTTATATTTAGAAGTATATTTATATATTTTTTTTTACCAGAGGGGAATGTGAACTCCAAAAAGAAATACGTCAAACCCTGCTAACGTGGAAAACCCGTGAGCCAAATTTCTTGACTATACAACCTGGAAATTAGCATGCAGTCATCAGACTGACTGGCTAAGGGTTCTTTGTTATAACTATGTCAGCTGCCTATGAAAAAGCCGTAAGATGAGCAATTCTTTGTGCAGAATGGTGCTAGTTCTGAAGTGCAGAAATCTTATTGTGTGGCTATGTATCAAGCTGTGTTTTTCTCTTACTGTGCAATTTAACCCATGAGCAGAGATACCTGCTCTTTGCATAACTTTTGTTGTGGTATTGGAAATATTCACAAAGGTTAGTGTGAATGCTTGTTAGAAAATATAGCTGTGCAATTCTCACCCCTCAGAATTAGGGAATAAAGCACCTTCAATTTGAGTTTATGTGCATGGGGCTATTCTTAATGATGGCCCCTCTTTTGTGAAATGTTAATGCGGTGGTGCTCCATGTCCCTCTCTGGGTGTAGGCTCTTCACAATATGATAATGTAGCTAACGCTTAAATCAGCCTTCACGAACCCAGTGCCTTCCAGATCTTGGGTTGATGACTGTTGCAATTGAAAACATCTGGAAGGCACCAGCTTGAAGGCTGGCTTACACCCTCTTTCAGTTTTCTAAGTTATTTGTAGCTTTAAGAATAGTCCACAATTTATTTAGTATCTGAAAGAATTGATTTTTCGACAGTCAGTTTTTCAAGAGTGACCAGCTAGAGCCTTTGAGAAGCTGAAAAAGATTTAATAAGGGCAAATATAGTTGCCCATCATAAAATATAATTTAAAAAAGTTTTTATTTAGCCATGATGGACATTCTTTTCAAACCCGTACATTACTAGATGAAAAGATAAATGCCCTGTCTATATTCAATGTAGATATCCAATGTCCAATGTATATCCAATGTAGCATAACCCTACCAGTCATTTTGCTAAAGATCTTGCCATTGCAGATATCTGGAGTAATGGTGCACAAGAGCGAGAGAATCGGGTTCTTTGAAGGGTCTTCTGCCTCCCCCTTTATATCTGCCTGTTCCCCAGCAGTTGCTTCTGAACTTCTGTAGCATGGCATTGCTCTTGCTTCTTCCTCGTTATTGCTCCTTAACTCTTTTCTTGTCCCACTTTTGATGTAAGGGTATGGGATACCTTTTCAGGAAGATTCAGGGCTGGGCAGAAACAGACCTTATAACAATAGGACCTCTGGGAACTCTATATATTTGTGGACTTAAACTCCTATCATCCCTGGTCCTTGACCATTCTGGCTGGGACTGATAGGTGTTGGCATCCAACATAATCTGTTAAGATGCAGATTCCCCATCTCTGTAGTTTAAATGCAAATAGCTCTGTGAACCCTGAAGATAGACCTACTCAAATAGTCCTGAATATGAAACTAATATTCTTCAACTCTTTTGGCACCCTTCGTTCCTTCTAAGGATTTGTGTTGGTGAGTCTTCTAATGAGGCATCTTGCACTTTAAAGCCTATAAGATACATCTTGTCATCTATTTACTCCATTCTTTTGGGATCGCTACAGGATTGTTCCCAGACATACGTTTTCTTTGGCATATTGAAACTGGCATATATAGTGAATGCCCTATTGCTTTAGAATTCCAAATGCAGCTTTATGGTACTGGTTGGGTGATGCACCTGACATTGACCTCCCTCAGGCATGTTGTCTGCTAGAATCCCTTCCTGGTCTCTTCTAAAGCCCCCTTTGACCAAGATATCCCCTGAGGGCATACAGTTTAACTGGCCCTGTAACCGCTGTATCTTTTTTCTTCATCTGTGGCCATTAACAATTTGTTTTGGCAGCATAGGTTGACCACCTTAGCTTATTGGGGTGTGGGTGGCTTTTTGTGTGAGTTTAGCAAACATTTTTATGGATGATTCTTAATTTTTCTGCTATTTCAGTGTTTACCTGCCAGCAAGCTGCTTATGGTTGATATTTCCCAAATGGGGAAGCTTGAAAGAAGAAGAAAGCAAAAACCTATTTTCCTTAAAACGCCCCTGGCAGTGGGGGTCTGAAGTACCACTGCTGAGTTTTTGTCTATTACAGTGATGCTGTTTATAAATATTGTGGGTGGTGGTGGTGGTGGTGGTGAAGGGAGGGGCTTGTTTCTCCTTTAGTGGAGGAAGGAGTGTGGGTTGTCACCACCCACTGGCAGGAAGTCAGACTTTTGAGAGGGCACGTCTGGTGGATAGGGCAGCCCCCTGACTGGTTCATCTTCCTGCCAGCTCCACTGCAGGTTGCTCTTGCCGGCAGCTTCAGGCACGGCTAAAGAGAAAAGGCAGGAATGCCATTTTGGAAGGGATTTTCCTTGGCTCTTCTTTTGTTTGTTTTTCCTGTCTCCTCTATCTGCTCTTGCTCTGCTATTCCTGCTCTCTCCTGGCTCCCCAGATTCACCCATAGTGTCAAGAAGGGTTGAAACATAGCTGATGTGGAGGACGAGATCTGTTCTCTGCCAACTCATCACATGAGTCATTGGGAAGCCGGGCCACCCGTGCAGGAGTACCAGGGATTTCCCTGATCACAGCACTATGAAAACCTGCTTTTCTCCGTGATAATCAAAATCACTGTTAACATTGTATGCATATATACACATGTGAAACCTTTTAAAACCAAAACAGTTTAGAATTACTTGTTTCAAGAAACTTCTAAATACCAAGATCTGAAGGATGTCCTCCTCAATTTGGGGCTGACGCTGAAAATAATAGCCTCAGAGTTCTCAACCTTCTCCTTGTGTCATGATGTTGCTTTGGGAATTTCCACATCCTCGCTCATGGTTGAGATAATGCAAAATTTATGTACATTAAGGTAAAACATTTATTAATGTGGGATGAAGGATTGCGATAACTCAAGTGTGTTTGGTAGCATCAAAATGTTGAGCATAACATCTCAACCTGTTTTGAAGCCTGGGCTGGTCCGTCTCCCACCTTCTCTCCCTCTCATCCCCTCCTCTCCTGGCTGAGGAGAGATGTGGTGCAAAATGGAAGTGGTCTTTTTTGCGGGGTGGGTGGGTGTTTCTGTAGGCTTAATCGGGCCTCTGCTTTGTACTTTCTGTCATTGTTTCAAATTAAAAATTGCTAGTGTGTGAAATGCAATTCTACCCTATTCTTTGATCAGACATGTGTCATGTGATGCTTTGTTCAAATGTTAATATTTATCTCTGATGCAAAGTTGACTTACAGAGCAGCGAGGTTAAATTTCAAGATAAAACGATTAGCATGCTGCAGCACCTTTTCTTCCAGCCAGATCTGCAAATGCCACTGCAGAATGCACCTAAAATAGCTATCTCAGCAAACACTGTTACCCCTGAAATACTGTTATCTGTACTGGAAGGCCTTTGACTTTTTAGCTTCTGGAATTCAGTTGCTCCAAATGCATCTCATCTTTAAACAATGCTGAACTTCATTATTGCACTGACTGAAATTACAGTTTGAAATTAAATAAATGGGCCTTCTGCTACCCTAGCTAATACTGGTCTCCTGTGATTTTGAAATGGCTATGATGACCTGAATTGCATGTTTGTTTGTAGGTACAAGAGAACTTTCATGGGTTTTTCTCTGGGGTAACATGCTGTAGACTGTTGTAAACAAAATCTGCCCTTATTCCTTTATGGGGTACGCAAGAGTCCTTTGTTGGTTCTCCATCGGTAGGAGAAAATAACAGAGGCCAACCAGAGAATGTTGAGAAGCAAAGCAGCTAGTAAGCCTGATCTTTATTAAAACTGTTGCAACAGGCTGCTCCCCTCACACACAGGAGAGAGGAGGAGGAGGACCTCGAACAATGGCGCGCAAGGCCTTCTATATCCATTTTGAAATTCCCTGCCCTGGAGCTCAAGACCACCCCTCCATACATCATACATACATCACAGAAAAGGTGGTCTACAACAGAAATTTGAATGTTGTTGTTTTTCCTGTCTGCCAGTTTATCTGATAATGCCTTATCTGATTGCCTTTTCTGGTAGTCTGGCCATTCCTTTGAGATGGCAATTACTTAATTCCTGAGACAATGGGAAGGTTTTTTTCATTTCCTCTTTCCTTGTAGAGAAACATTTGGTCAGTTTGGGAGAGTTAAAATGGTTTCAGGACTGTCTTCCTGTGATGCTTCAGACATGTGGTTTATATATTTATGTACAAGTTTGCTTGGTACATTTATGAACATTATATATATATATATATATATATATATATATATAACCTTAAAATTCTTATTGCAAGACATTTATAAGAACTGATGTGGTATAGCCATTAGAGTGTTAGAGTATGATCAGAAGGACCGATCCAAATCACCATTAATCCATGGTCAAGAGTGGTTGTGATGCTAAAGGAAGGAGAGGACCATGAGGTGTTTTTTTTTTGGGGGGGGGGTTAAAATGGAATAAGCATCCTGTCAAGCCCTTTTCAGCTGCTAAGAGAATGATCATTTGTGGGAATGCAGTTTAACAATGGGGACAAGATAAGCATAGTTTAATCCCAAACTGCCAAATGGAGAGTGGTCAGAAGCATAGTGTGTAAACCTCTCTTTTATCCTTATCTTAATAATTGGTGTGTGTTTTGAGATAGCGGTAAGAGCCAAAGAAAGGTGTTAGTCTGCGTACACTACTGCTTGACTACTGGTAGCACAGAAGTAGGCTATAGATAACAAATTAGTTAATTTTTTAATGTGACACATAATTTTTTTAAATAGTTGTTTTTAAATCACACACAGCATTCCTGTTCTGGTTTGTGTTCTTGGCTGACTGTACAAATATGAATTACCGGTAAATGCAAACTTAAGATGCACCCATTAGTGTTGTTTGAGGACTTTTGAAAACATTTGTTTTTCCAAGTGGTAGGAAGCTTGGAGCAGAGATAACTAGGTGGGTGGGGAACCTGTTGTTGAAGTTGGCCAAAAATGCTCCTTAGGTAGTCGAAGCATTTTATTTGTATGTATGTATTTGTATTTCAGAAAAGGAAATGTACTAATCTTTACTTTTGCTATAAAAGTGAAAGTCCTTGTTGCCTGCTAGCTGGCCGATAGACATAATGAGAACATGTAGTGCTCTTAATGCACTATATTGATATGCTTTTAGTATCCAATTAAATTGTCAGTGCTTTCTTACTCAAATAAAATCTCATAGTGACTTGCTAACTTGGATGTTTTCTCTTGGCTTCACAGAAGAACCGTGAGAATTAAAACACAAATGTTGACCAACTTTAAGGAGCAGGCAGATACAATTAAGCTGGAACATTAGAGGAACTGTGGGTTAGGTTTGAAACTTCCTTACTGGAAGTTTCTCTTCTAGACCTGCAGCTGTTCTGAGGCCCTTCTGAATGAAGATGTGTTAATCTGTGTAACATTTTGACATGCAATACTTGGCAGTCCTTGGTTTCAAAAGTTGGCACTACTACAGGTGCCACATAATACCCATTCCCCATTTGTATGAACTCAGTTGTTAGTGCAATTTGGAACTCCCTGCCTAGTGAGATCAAGCAGGTACCTTCACTGTACACTTTTCGGGGTCTGATAAAAACACAATTGTTCAGACAAGGTTACCTTGATGCTTAGAGAGTTGAGAGGTAGATCTGTTTTAGTATTTTAATTTTATATATTTTAATGTATGATTATAAATTTTTCTGGATTTTACTGTTTTATGTTTTAGTAAAACACTTTGAGGGTTTTTTTTTACAATCAAGCAGGGTATAAATTTTATGAAATAAATAATAACATCTGTATGCAAAGTTACTAAGCCTGGAGCATTGTTTTTTGCTTCCCCGCCTCCATCACAAACATCTTCAGATGGTAAGAGAGGAGATAAAAATTACCCACAACTTAAAAGGAAAAAGGCTTTTTGCTCTACAGAAATGTCTGAAGTTTTGTTCAGCTGCAGCTAGATGGCATCAGTTACTTACAAGAAGGAACCTCCTTTTGTAGCATTTAGACAGTTCTCAGCTTAGCTAGGGAACTTTAGTGCATGAATGAATGAGAATGTGGTCTGCTACATCAAATTCAGCAAAGTTAACCAAAGTGATGTGATGTCTTAAAAATGGTACAGCCATATAAATTTTTATGAGATTAGGGGTTATATACTGGCTTGAATAGCCTCACCATTGACACCAGGTTCAGTACAAATTGGCAAGATAACTTACTTTAGTTCCATTGGGTTTTTGTACAGTGGTACCTCGGGTTAAGTACTTAATTTGTTCTGGAGGTCTATTCTTAACCTGAAACTGTTCTTAACCTGAAGCACCACTTTAGCTAATGGGGCCTCCTGCTGCTGCCGCGCCGCCGGAGCATGATTTCTGTTCTCATCCTGAAGCAAAGTTCTTAACCTGAAGCACTATTTCTGGGTTAGCGGAGTCTGTAACCTGAAGTGTATGTAACCCGAGGTACCACTGTACAACCTTTAAGCTCTTCGTATCATAATGGGTTAAACATAGTTAGGCCTGAAAAATCTAATTCCATTGAAAGTTTCTGCCTTATGCCTTTAAAATATGCATAAAATATGTGGCCTGGAATTGTGGCAGCAATATTCCTTCTCCTTGTCAGGTAGAGACTGGAAGTGCATTGCGAGTGCCTGGATTCACTAATGGTTGAGGGAACACACAAGTTTAATCCTATGTATTATTTACTTATAATACTTTTAAGTTTTATACTACTTATAAAACATACTTATGTGCTACTTTTGGGTGGCATAGCCCACTCAAGGCTGCTCTTAACAACAAAATAGCCTTAAAAACATAGCAGCATCAACAGTTCCTTAAAACAGGCCAGCTAAAAAAACCACAAACTGATGCAGCTCACTTGCAATAGCTGTCAGAGCTATATTCTCTATATTGCTCCATCTTGAAAATACTAGTCTTTAAGACTCAGTTGAAAACTCTTGTGTGGAGGTCATGCACGCCTTGGAGGGTGGGGGTGGTTTCACAGTCTGGAGGGTATTGCACAAAAGGCCCTGTTCCTAAGGCCTGCCAGCTGAATGGACCTTATGGCAGGCATAGCAGCTGGATGAGCCAGGCCTCTGGAGCAGATCTTAACATCCAAGTACATTTGTACGGATGCAGCAGCCTTTCAAATAATTTGATCCCAAATTCTTAAAAGATCAGAACCCACTCTTTGATTTGGGCTACAAAACACACAGGCAACTGGTGTCTGAATAGGTTCCATGTGCTGAAATCACCTTTCCCCTTACCAGTAGCATTTTGCTCCATTGGAAGTTTCGAAACCATTTTCAAAGGTAGGGCTCATTACGTAATGTGGCTAGTGAATAATCCAATTTCTTGGCAAGGTTGTGGTTAGTATAGCAGCTTGAGCCATTACTTGTGCTTCCACAGATGGTGCCGAGTCCAGGACTAGCTCCCATCCTCCATCTAGGGCTCGCCATCTCTTTCCACCACACCTGCAAATTCACACTGCTATATCATGTCTGGATGAAGTTTCTTTCTATCCCCCTTACCTCCACAATAATCTCGAGGAGAGTTCTACAACCTCCCTGGATTTACAGAGATGGCAATGAGGGAACTGGGTTTTGACTACAAGAGGAAATATTTTCCATAAATGTGAGGAAACAAGATTTCTAAAACTTAAGGCCAGTTCTAAAATGGATAACCACCCATTTTGCATTTCTCTGAAACCTGTTAGCCAGTTAAACTTTGGTTAAATTTAGCTAAGGCGGAGATGAAAGACCTGTGGCCCTCCAGATGTTATCCCTGAGACAGATGGATCCTTGTTCACCTCCTTCCGTCAACGCCAGCCAAGTTGGTGTTAAATGTATTGCTCTGCCTGCCTTTGGACCACATCAGTGAGGCCGAGAGGAGATCTTGTCATCTGGACAGCCCAGGACCTCCATATAGGCTGCCCAGTCTTGCACCTGGGGGAGGTTACTTTGGTGCTGCTAATGCAGAGGTTTGACTTCAGACACGCTGCCATTGTATATTGAGAGAGACAAATTCCAACAACCACCATGCATACTTTTCCCTGACCATTGGCTGTGGTAAGTGAGGCTGATGGGAGTTGGGAATCTTGACACCATCTGGAGGACCACAGATTCCCCATCCCTAAGCTAACAACTTTCCTATTTTCCTCACTTCTGGGTTCGCTACCTACCTTTCTCTTCCAAACAATTACAGTGCAATCCAATGCATGTTTACTTGCAAAGGAATTTTTACTTGGAAATGCAAATTGCCATTGGATTACATCCCCCTATTGTGGTGACGTAGTACATCTAGTGCTTATTTGCTTTGGGGGGGGGATTTGCAGTTTGCTGTCTTTCCTGATTGCATCCATTTTGAATTGCGCTATTAATACCTGGCTAGCTCACTTTCCGCTACAAAACTCCAGGTGTCTGGGTCATGCCTGTGAGAAAGAGTGAGGATATATTTATGTGAATTTGCACCGTTGCCTTTGCCTGAAGAGCTCCTTTTTACTTGCTTCTGGTTGAAAAGCAGACACCTGACCCTGGATTGCCTTGTAGACATAGTGTATCTTTCTGTC